TCGGTTTTAAGACCAGAGCTAAAGGAACACCAGATCTCAATGCTACAATAAAATTTATTAATGCAATACTAGGTAATTGGTGCGGTTATACTATCAAGAGTGAGCGAATGCTCTTGGGGCCAAAAGATCAACGAGTGTGGAAGCGCACTTATTGGATTTATCGTGTACCAGATAATGGAGCTGGTTTTGAAACTATAGAAAGAATAATAGCTATAAAATCAAACGATCCTAATTATTACCCTACAAATCCAATTCTTCCACCATATAAACCTGAATCGGTCAATGAAACTCAAGAACTTTTCGATTCTATACCCATTACTAGTGATATCACCATTTCAAAATCCAGTAATAAGGTTTGTGAAAAGAGTTCTTGCAATAACATAGTCGAAAAATCTATGACAAATTTACCACAATTGTCCTCTATAGTATTGGCTCAAAATCAATCAAACAATTTCGAGCAATTTTCAAACATTACCGAAACTAGGATTGAAATACCTGAATCCTTAATTTCTTTATCTTCAGAATATCTTATCAAAAACGAATCTGATATTGATACTCTTATCTTTTATTTACAAGAAAAATTCCAAATGTCGAAAGAAAAATTAGAACAATGGCGAGCCAAGATTGCCTTTGAAATGCGGGATAACCATAATTATTGGAAAAAAGAGCGCGAAAGCATGAATGAAGCTGAGTTCTTGGAACACAAGCGAAATTTTGAAACTAAATTAGGTATTCCTACTACTCCGCACAAAAAAGAATTAAAAACCTACTCTTTAGCCTTTATCGAATATGCGTAATTGTTGTTATATATCTTTCAAGGTGATATAAACTAGTTAAGTAGTAATTTCTGGAGAAGAGAGATTGCTACATTTAACTAGTCATTCATCTCGGGTAAGCATTTCTTACAATAAGTATGAGAAAAAATTCAAATCAAAAATTAATATTCCGATACCTGGATCATATAAAGGGATTTTTGTGTCGCGCGATTTTGATTAAGATAAATTTCAGGTAAGTACCTCCGATATATAAGGTATGTATGAGTCAGAGAATCGAAGCTCAGCTTCCTCGATAACCATTTTTGTGTTGCCTAATTTAGATATCAATAAAAATGATACTTCAAGGTATCGAAAAAAGTGATACTCCAAAGTTTTCGAATTAGTGGTACCCCAGGTTTCATTTTCTGATTATAAATAGTGTTCACGTTTTTTGATACATGTTTGATAATGATATCCCAAAGTTTTCGATATAGTGTTATTCCAAAGTTTTCTATAGTGTTATCCCAAAGTTTTCGATATAGTGTTATTCCAAAGTTTTCTATAGTGTTATCCCAAAGTTTTCGATATAGTGTTATTCCAAAGTTTTCTATAGTATTATCCCAAAGTTTTCGATATAATGATATCCCAAGGTATAATTATTATAGAAAGATATATAAAATTATGCTTTGGGGTTACATACAAATAGGTATCGAAAAAAAGTGATACCCCAAGGTATAATTATTACAGAAAGATATATAATATATAAAATTATGCTTTGGGGTATCAACGGATATGATAACAATTCGGCACTATGTGCCTCATCCTCAGGTTACCAAATAGGATAACAATTCGGCACTACGTGCCTCATTCTAAGATAACATAATAGATAACGATTCGGCACTACGTGCCTCATTCTAAGATAACATAATAGATAACGATTCGGCACTACGTGCCTCATCCTCGGGTTAC